CATATTAACTTGGAATGTTTACAAACTAGACTATTGTGCAATCACAATAGTTAAATAACACAAAAATCAACAAAATACAAATGATCAAGGACGGTTTCTAATTTCTAGTGTTTTTCCATGTCTCATTAAATGGCCTCAGCAGTGCTATTGTGATGAGAATAAATGCCACCTGGTAAAACAAATCCAGCCATAATGTCTCTCTTTTGTCCAGGATGACAACAAATACCATGTGATGAAATCATTCTGGTTATAAAGATCAGTCTTTCCCCAGTGCCAAGCCTGGATGGTTATCCTCTAAAAGGGAGCTCAAATTAAGGAGAAATAGGTGCTAGTTTCTTTTTTTTTTGAGACAGAGCCTCAAGCTATCCCCCTGGATAGAGTGCCATGGACTCACAGCTCACAGCAACCTACAACTCCTGGGCTCAAGCGAGTCTCATGCCTCAGCCTCCCAAGTAGCTGGGACTACAGGCGCCCGCCACAACGCCTGGCCATTTTTTTTGGTTGCAGCCATCATTGTTGTTTGGCGGGCCCGGGCTAGGGATTCGAACCCGCCACCTTAGGTGTATGTGGCTGGCGCCTTAGCCGCTTGAGCCACAGGCGCTGAGCCAATAGGTGCTAGTTTCTAGCCTCTGGCTAGAACAGGCGTCCTCAAACTATGGCCTGCGAGCCACATGCAGCCCGCCTAGGACATTTATCCAGCCTGCTGGGTGTTTTTGCCGCTGCTGCCTGTCCTGCTTAGCAGCCAACTCATCCTGAGGCCTGCAGTCCGGCCCTCCAACAGTCGAGGGACAGTGAACTGGCCCCTTGTTTAAAAAGTTTGAGCACCCCTGGGCTAGAAGGTCGGTGGCATGAATAGCTTTCAAGATGGGACAAAGTGAAGGATGAGAGATAGCTGTGCCAGATCCGTGAACATGGGCTGGTTCCATAATATGTTAGAGATAATGGCTGTCTGCTTGGTGAGGGTAGGGTGGGGATGGGCAGGTGTCTACCATCAGGCAAATTTAATCAGGAAGAGAGATTTTTCTAGGTATCTTTGTAGGCAGAATGTAAGATGACTTGGCACAGAAGCAGCACTGGAGAGCTGGAAAGGAACTTGCTTAGGTGTGGCTGCAGGTTTTGACCATCAGGACAAATTCAGTATGTGCTTTCTCTAGCTCGGGTTCACTGCTTGCTTTTCAGCTTTGTGTACTGTACATCTTCACTGGGCTCCCATGGCACCGTAACTGTGGAATGGCTCTAAACCTGCTCGTATTCCTCTATCCCCTTTATTTCTGCACTCAGTGGCAATATCAACCACCTCATTATCCAAGAGCCTGGGAATTATCCTAGACTCAAATCTCTCTCTTTAGTATTTGGCTGTCTGTTTGTCCCCAAATGCCATCTATTTCATTCAACATATCTAGAATCAGCACCATCCTTTTAATCCCCGGTTTAGTTTCTACCTTCATTATTCTTCAATCCCTCCAAGGGTCTCTTTTGTAGCCTATCTCACCCCCTTCCAATCCATCTTTCTCACTCCCTCCAGTTTGAACTTTCCAGAATCCTTTTATGGTCCCAACTCTTTGGCATGAGGCCCTCCCTGCTCTGGCTTTTTCTCCCTCTCCAGCTCCTCAGCTGCACTGTGTGCTCTAGTCACACTGAGCTGCTCTCTGTTCCTTAAGCAGCAGGGTCTTTGCATTTGCATCTGCCAGGACAGTCTTTCCTTCCATAATTTAGAACAATGGTTCTCAACCTGTGGGTCATGACCCCTTTGTAACAATGAAAATACATTGCGGCATTAGGAAGGTTGAGAACCACTGGTTTAGATTAAGCCCCCCTCTGGGGACACCTTCTTTGACACTTCAGGCTGATTTTCCTGATCTCCCTTACATTTTCCTTACCATTGTACCTGGCAAAGTACAGCTTCATAATTTGTTTTCTCATCTCCTTCATAAGATGGTGCAGTCTGAAGCCAAGTGAAATAGCAGATGATGGCACAGCTCCACATCCAGTGAGTTCTGTGTCCTGCCCACCTTTAGGGAAGATCTGCTAACTCAAGGAGGCACAGCGGCACAGGGTCTAGCAACAGTGTCCAATGCCCAGACTTTGTGGTACAAGCTGTCTCTGGGACTGGCGTATGAGCTGGTGGCAGTTGGAGTCTCTGATGGAGCTGTCCTATGGTGGTCTTTGAGCATTTTTCCCAGATGTGTAGACTTCCATTCTCTGACTTTCCTGAACATTCTGTGAACTGCCTGATATCTTTGAGTACATTTTTTTATTGAGCTGATTAAATAGGCTTCTGTTGTCTGCGGTTAGGAGCCTGAGACAGACCTCTAAATGGGAAAAACTTGGCATCAGGTCATCCCACTCCTGCTATTCCAGGTCTGTATCGCATGGAGTCCTTTCAGAGAGCAGGCTCTTCACCCTTCAGGCCCTGACCCTGTTCTGCTCCGCTGCGAAGCCGCCGGGTTCTAGGTCACTGTGCAGACTGGCAGGGCCCTTTGAGGGGCCCCAGCTGATGGTGTTCCATGTGCTGGGTCCCCACCTGGCTGCTCTTGAGCACTTTCTCTTTTTATCTCCTGCATAGTCATCTTCTAAGGTGCCTCATTGTGCCAGGACTTCTGATCAGGACAAGGTGGTTTTAAAACACGTCCACACATTCTTTGATACCCGTTTTCATCCAGAGATGGATTATTTCCCTTCCCTTAAAACTGGGAATGTCTTTGTGATGGAAATGACACTGAATGACATCCAAGGCTAAGTTAGAAAAGGCCAGGCCGGTTCTGCAGTGTCTCTTGGGACTCTCATCAGCTGCTGTGTAAGAAGTCTGGCATCCCTGGACTAGCCATGCTGACAGCCCATGTGGAGAGAACACAGAGAGAGGAGACATCTGAGAAGCCCCGGCTGTCAGATTCCTCCCTGCCCAGGCATCAGAAGTCTGTGTGAAGGAAGAAGCCTCAGTGATGATTCTGCTCCATCCTTGGCTGAATGCAGCTGCATGAGAAGCTGAAAGGGGAGCTGCTGAGCTGAGTCCAGCCAACCCCAGATTCATGAGCAAAATTATAAGCAATTTTAATTTAAGCCACAATTTGGGGGTTCCTTCTAACACAGCAGTGGATAATGAATACTTTCCTGTACCCTTTAATGACAAAGGAATTTAAAATATGGGCAGCATGGGAAGGAAGAAGGGGGAATTATCGTTTAGTGAATATGAAGTTTCAGTTTGTGAAGATGAACTATTTCTGGAGATGGATGGTGTTAATCATTGTGTAACAATTTGACTACTCTGGGCAGTGCCTGTAGCTCAAGGAGTAGGGCACTGGCTCCATACACTGGAGGTGGCGGGTTCAAACCCAGCACCAGCCAAAACAAACAAACAAACAAATAACAATGTGACTGCTCTTAATGCCTCTAAACTATACACTTAAAAATGGTTAAAATGGGGCCAGGTATCATGGCTCATGCCTGTAATCCTAGCACTCTGGGAGGCCAAGGCAGGAAGATTGCTTGAGCTCAGGAGTTTGATACCAGCTCGAGCAAGAGCAAGACCCTGTTTCTACTAAAAATAGGAAAACTACCCTAGCACTATGGTGCACGCATGTAGTCCTGGCTACTTGAGAAGTTGAGGCACAGGGATCTCTAGAGTCCAGGTGTTCAAGGTGGCAATGAGCTATGATGATGCCACTGCATCCTAGCTGGGACAACAGAGTAAGACCATGTCTCACAAACAACAACAACAACAAAAAGGTTAAATGGTTAATTTTATGTTATGTATATTTTACTACAATTAAAAAAAAATCTAGTAGCAACCAATTTTGGAATGTATGTTAAAATGGATATTTCTATTATTTAAATAGTTGAGTCCTGTCCAAGACTGGACTCCGATGCCATATTAATGGTAATACTTATATGAAAAATATATGTCTGCCTTCAGGATGATAATAGCTCCATTTTAAAAATAAATAAACAATATTAACTAATATTTATTCATTGAATGCCTGCCCTCTATGAGCCAGGTGCCAGGGAGGTAGCTAGAAAGAAGACATAATTGTCACTCATTTTACATTGTAGTTGGGTTGTGGGACCAGTGAGGGGAAAAGATGGACAAACCTATAAAAACAGACCGTGTTGGGGGTTGACAGTGCTCTATGCAGGTTAGAGCAGGTGACATATAGATGGAGACAGGGTCCACTGTCGCCCTGAGGGGTAGTAGTGCTGTGTACCCAGGTGGGAAGGAGCAAGTTAGGGAGGGGCAATACGGAGCCTGTGTTGGCTGGTTTCTTTTGAGATGCTACTAGATATAGACAGGACAATGGCAAGTGTTCAGTGGCACATACCAGGCTGCAGTTCTGTGTTCAGTGGCACATACCAGGCTACAGTTCTAGGAAAAGGCAGAGCAGGAGATTTTGTGAATTTGAATGAATTTGTGAGTCACTGAGTTGCCAGTGAAATTTAAAATGGAATCTAGGTGAGGTCATCAGGGAACGTGCAAAATGAGAGACCAGAAGGAACAGCAGCCAGGAAGGAGTGTGATGCCCTGAAGGGTCTAAGGCTGCTGGGAGGAGAGCAGCTAAGGGACTGTGAGGTCTGACCCAGACAGGCCAGGGGTGCTGGTTAAGTATCTGTGGAGAGATTTAGAGAAAGAGTCAAAGAGAACATGTGAAATGGACAGAGTGAAGACAAAATTTTCAAGAAATTTTAATAGTTCAAGAAGCAGAGAAATGGACAAGACCCGTGAGGTCAGTTATTGCCCTGTGACAGGCACTATGCCTTTCCAAATATTTCACATAAATATGTAATTTCATTTGCTACAGAATTTCAGTTTCCATTTTGTAGGTGGAAAATGAGGTACAAAGAAGAAAATAAATTGCCCAGGGACAAAAGTAGTAGGTGCTGGAGTTGGGATGTGAACCCGGGCTTATGTGAACCGATGTCATTCAACTAGTTACACCTTTGGTATCGTCAGTACATCACTCCTGCATGAGAGATAATTTAATCCAAATTTCTGATAAATAAAATTCGTATGCTTAACCAAAATATTTATTTGATAATTACACAGCAAAATTCCAGTATGGTGTAAACTTTGTAGAGGCCTTTAAAAATACCCAATGAGATTTGATTCCTTTTTTCCCCTAGAGAAAAATTAAATATACAGTTTCATATCAATTAAAATGGAACTTCTGAAAGAAAAAGAGTAGAAAGAAGAGGAGGATCACAATTTTACATATTATGCTGGGAAATAAGAGGCCTTCCCACATGGTAGCTAATCCAGTCAAAATAATTGGCTACTTTGGTGTAAACACCTGGGAACTCTGGTTGGCCACAGTTTTCACCCCAACTCACAACACCCCAAACATAAGTCACATTGTTGGCATCCGTACAGGTCAAGGGGCCTCCAGAGTCCCCTTTACAGGCATCGATGGAACCATCAACTGTACCTGAGAAAGAAAGGGGGAAGAGACGGTCACACGACACGGTTCCTTCTATTTGCAAAGCTACCAGGCCTGCTCTGCCTCCTGCCTCCTACACCAACACGTGTAAGGACCTCAGTTGCCTTAAGCTTACCTGACAGGAAATCACAGAGTTGGAGAGATGCAGGTTAGGAAATATTTTATATGTCTTCTTTTACTAATGCCCTTAATTCAGCATGCTTTTCCTGTGTTCTCTATTTCATACAACCGTATACTGAGACGAACCGCAACCTGCAAGTTGCATCAGACGCTGAGTGGGGACTTACTTAGTGCTTATCAAGATTCTAAAGTGGATTGATCATTCACTGTTTTAATCCTGACCACAATCCTATGTGGTATCAGCTATTTTACAGCTGAAACGAACAAGGCGCAGAGTTTAACTTGTCCAAGGTCACTTGTAACAAATAGCATCGCCTGGGCTTGAACCCAAGCAGCCACACCTCAGAGCTCACCCTCTTAACCACGATACCACCTCCTGGAAGATTTTACGCTGTTCTCCCCCTTCCTCCACTGTAATTCTGAACCATTTCAAGACAGAAGAACACTGTCTCCTTACTCTTATGACCTTCTAAGGTTTTTGAATCACTATTCAAAAAGGTTATAGGATATTAATCACTGCCCTTTTTAGTAAAACATTATTTATAAATAGCTTCAATAAAGCATCCTAAATGCGCCACACAGGCTGGTGCCTAGCCTTTGAATCATCTCTAGAAGCAGGAATTGTTCTTGTAGTGTTAGGGGAATTAACCGTGACAGCAGCGGGGACCACGGCCTGAGAAACGCAATGTGATTTCTCTCTTTTTTTTTGAGACAGAGTCTCACTTTGTTGCCCTCAATAGAGTGATGTGGCATCACAGCTCACAGCAACCTCAAACTCTTGGGCTCAAGCAATTCTCTTGCCTCAGCTTCCCAAGTAGCTGGGACTACAGGTACTCACCACAAAACCCAGCTATTTTTAGAAACAAAGTCTTGCTTTGGCTCAGACGATCCATTGGCCTCAGCCTCGCAGAGTGCTCCCAGATTACAGATGTGAGCCACCGCTCCCGGCCCACAATGTGATTTCTAAGGAGGTGGTATTACTTGAGATGAGATGACTTGAACTTCTCTTTAGAAGTGGTTTTAGTTTTGGTCTTGGGCATATTATTACCTTTTGTCTGTAAAACTTTGGGTAAATCATATAAATGCAATGCCCCTCTATTTCCTTATCTCTTTAGAGCCTCAATTTTCCAAGAGAGGAAACTAACTCAAAGTCACATGACTAGTAATTGCTAAAAACTGGGATATAAATCTAGGTCTGATTCCAAAGTCTGTGCTCTTAGTCACCTTGCTGCACTAGTATATAATAGTTTAAGGAAGATGTTTCCTCTTGGTATTAGAATAGGGGAACTTGAGCTACAGGGAATGGAGTACAGAAGTTGGCAATAGCTAGAAGGCCAAACGGAAGCGTTCAGGGCCCAGAGCAGGGGAGCTGATAGGGTAGGGAGGAGGAGATATTTGCTGGCAGGAATATATATACTGTATATCCCAGATGAGCCACTTAGCACTTACCTGCACATTCCATTTCTTTTTCATAGAAGCGATTTTGATAAAACTTAGAGCAGTTGCCAATTAGGTAAACTTCACCCCACTGAAGGGCAAAGACTTTTTGGTCATCTGAACAAAGTAAGAACACAAACATTTAGAAGTCACAAATAAAGAAATCAAATAGTAAGCCATTAGGAATATAAGAGAGTATATATTCCTAACATACAGATGAACTTTTGAGGATAGGGCCTTAGCATATTTCATCACACTTTTCTCCTCATATCCTCTTTTTCTGTAATTGTTTTTACAGAAAATTGTATGGATCATCAAGGGGGGTTATTGAACATATGGCATGAAGTCACATTCTTTAAAAAAGAGCTGGTACCCTGAGATGAATGAGATAAAATCTTTCTCTTTTGGTTGCAGAGTTCAGTAGAGCAGTGGACAGGAATCAGTATGGGATTGTTTCCTCTAAACATCTCCTATCGTCTTACAATCCCTACTTCCTTGAAAAATGCATGTTAGGGTGAAAATAACTTTTTAATATCAGAAGTTTGAATAAAGAAAATGCATATGAAGTTATTAACGTGTGCGTGGGGAATGAAATTCATTTCCTAAGTGATTTGAAGCAATTAAAAGGAGATTTAGGATTTCCTTTCTATTTAAGAATTTTGGGACTTGAACATTTTTGGTCCAAGAGAAAAAGAAGGGCCAGGTACTATTGACAAACATATTAGGGAAGATGAAAATATAAGAATACAAGTGAGATGTCTCAGGGATAAGGAGGGAATCTTTGCCCCATCTCCCCTCCTCCTTTTCCCCAGAGCTCAGCAATTTTCATGCTTTAGTTGCTTATTTTGTGTCTGCTTCCTCATCACTCAAAGTTTTAGGGGGCAAGAATAGGCCTGACTCATTCTTTACCAGCACCCAGAATCATGCTAGCTGCATGAACTCACAGTAATCCAGTTATATACTAAGTATCGTATGCCAAATGACCTCCCCTTCACTTAACTTATGAACGACCTAGGGACGGAGACCTCTGGTTTATCCTGGAGGACACCTCCACAGACCCTTACCTGTAGTATGTACGAGGTACTTAATTATAGAATTAGTATTCTACTCCCCCGAGAAGCAGAGGGACATAAAAGCCCACCAAAGCATATGGCAAATCAGGAAGGAGTTTCCTTTTTTTCCTTCAAGCTTTACTTTAAGTTGGTCTCAAGATGGTTGCCTTTCTTGGAACAAGAGCCTTTTAAAAACTAGGAATTTATTATTTCCCTTCAGTCAGGAAAAGTCTTTTAAAACTGTGAGAAATTTTTAATGGTCAGGAGCTAGCCCCCTTCTCTGTACTCTTGTTTTGTAGACTTCTCATAGTCCCTTGTCACCTTCTGCTGTCTGATGGGGGCACTCATGTCTGATGGCTCCTCTGCAGGTAGGCATCTTGACCTAGAATTATCCCAGGATGAGGCAGTGAAAGCACAGAATTTGACCTCCCGACTTCAAGGTAGCCAGTAAGCACCCTGAGAGCTGGCTTTCATCTTACAACCCTGGAACCTCTTCATCTCTTTGTCTATTGACTGGGGCCATATTTTTTGCCACTGAAATCCTCGCATGTTAGCATTAAAGTGCACTTAGTAAGCGCTCAATACATGTGTTAAGCCATATTTGACTAATAATTTTGTTGTTGTTGTTGTTGTTGTTTTTGAGACAGAGTCTCATTATGTCACCCTCAGTAGAATGCCATGGCATCACTGCTCACAGCAACCTCCAACTCCTAGGCGTAAGTGATTCTCTTGCCTCAGCCTCCCAAGTAGCTGGGACTACAGGTGCCCACCACAGCGCTCGGCTTTTTTTTTTTTTTTTCAGAGATGGGGTCTTGCTCTTGCTCAGGCTGGTCTTAAACTTGTGAGCTCAGGCAATCCACCTGCCTCAGCCTCCCAAGTGCTGAGGTGGGAACCACGGAGCCTGGCTAATAACTTAATTGTTGAATAAGAATATATCTAACTATAACTTATAGGAAAATACATGGGATGGAAGAACATGTCAAATGCCAGATAAAGGATATGATCAACCAAGTTCAAGGTGTGGAAATACTAAAATAAGAATTAACCAGTTTTAAAAATAAGTACATTTTAATTAAAAGGAAGGGGTAATTATCCTAGATTAAAAGAGATTTAAGAAAAATAGCTACTGAATGCAATGTATAGACTTTGTTTGGATCTTGATTCAAATAATCTGACTGTAAAAATATTTTTTATAAATAGATGAGGAATATTAAACACAGACTGGTTATAAGGAATCACTTTTATTTTGGGGGGTATAAAACTAGTGTTGTGTCCTTATCTGGTAAAGATATATACTAGAGTATTTATAGATGAAATGACATGACATCTGTGATGTGATTTAATATACTCCAGGAAGGATGTGTGGGAAACATGTTGAATAGCTCCCCATGTTCCCTCCAGTGTCCTGACTCAACCTTCCCTGAGAGCCCCACCTGTAGGAACTCTTAGCTTCTGGTTTTCAATTGGTTTTGGACAAAGAAGTTTCCAACAGCAGGGAGGATGATGAGATTAAGGACAGCTGTACTCAAGGTCTTTGCTTCTGTCTAGACTACCTGCTCTACCTAAGACTTTTTCCTGATAACCACTCCTTCCCTTCTACCTTCAGATCTAGGGGTTGCAATGACGGCTCTGGTATTGCTAGTCCTGGGCACCTGTGGGCCTTGTGGTTCTCTAACCGCCCACTGGCATCTTAGTAATTAACTCTTTTATAAATAAACCTTTCTAATTATGCCATTGAGATGCCAATTGATAACAGGGAGATAAAATAAGAAGGGAGTATGTTGATAACCGTGGAAACTGGATGATGACTAGGTAAGGGTGCATTATACTTTAATCTCTACTTTTGTGTATACTTAGAAAAGTACATCATTAAAGGTTTTTTTTAAGAAGAAATATAAGGATACAATAATTTACACTTCTAGATAAATTATTTCCTAATAAAGTTTAGTATTTTACAAGCTATGTATTCAAATGTACTACAAATCTAGGTTAATTTCAACATATATTTTACACTTTTTAATGTGGCAATTATAAAGAAGGTGTTGGAATATGACTCTACAAGACCCATTCAGTGACATTACTTGAGGTTTCTGCTAACAAAGAGAGTTTAAGAGAGTTTAAGAGGTCAAAAGGAAGCTAAATTTCAACAATAAATCTTCAAGAGGAAGGGAGAAGTGTTGGGTGGTTTAATTCTGATCTAATCTCTAATTCAGCAGATCATGCCAATAATTTATCTCTAAGTGTTCACATCTCTCAGTCATATGAAGTATTCGCTTCAAGTCTTCTTAAAATCTCAGTGAATGAATTTCTTGTATTTCCTTTCTCTTTGTGGATGGGGTAGGCCACAGGGAATGGGGAAGAAAGGAAAGAAGCGAGAAGGAGGGTTGTGAGAATTAGTGACTCAACACATACTGAGGCTGTCCTTTTGCAAACCTTTTTATCTTTCATCCACATTTCCTCCAACAAATCCCAAAGGTCCCTGCCTTATATCTCCTTATCTATATATTTTTTCTTGATTAATGGTTACCCATTCATCACAGAGAGAGTGTATGTGTCCATTGAAAGTCTGGCTACATAATTTGCAGTAAAAAATGGAAATGTGGAGTGGGGCCCTTTCAAAATGATTAAAAATTTCATGATGGTGACAGTAGGACAGTAAATCAAACATGGAGCCCCATCTGAGTATGGGGTGCTGGGCAACTAACTGTACAGTCAGAAACCCACGAAGTCAGCCCTGGCTGGATACTCACTTTTCTAGATATGTTCCTCTCTGGGCATTAGGGCATTAGGGCATTAGGGCATTAGCACCCATGCATTAGCACCCATGCATTTCTCTCCTCATTCATTTTCAGCCCCTAGATTCTGATTAACAAATTATAAAACATACCTTTTTCTCGACCCCAGCCAGAAATGATGCATCTACTGTTAGGTTGAAATAGATATGGAGACCAGGGGACACAAGCAGGGACGGATTTAGGCAGCTTACAAATCCCCGGTTTGGGGTAGCCTTTCATTTCTATCAAAGCTATGTCATTCTGGTAGGTGCTTCCATTGTATTTTTCATGGATAATAATCCTATTCACCCGTTCAACTTTTGTCTCAGCATTAGGTTTTATCCAGTCTATTAATGATGTCCAGATTTGGTAACGGTGACTTCTAGTGACTCTATAACAGAGAAAAAATAGGGAGGGGGGGGGTGAGAAGGGAAATAAAATATATTGACAAAAAGTTAAGTATGGAATTCTAACACTTCATCTTTATTCTCCGTTTAAAAAGACTTTTTTCATTTTCCCAGACTTTTAAAATCCTTACTGTCATGAAGCAGCAAGATTACATTTATTTAGTGTAGATTTATGTCAATGGTAAATGGTAAAGAAAGGAATAATCCATTTAACTACTTAATATCAGGAAAATAAAGAACTAATAACTAGAGATGCCCGAAGTGAAAGGCAACTTCTGCCTTGGGAGCGAGTGAGCCATCACTGTAAGTGTTAAGCAGAGACCAGACAGCATCTTGCCAGAAATATAACTGAGGAACCAGAGAGTTAGACCATGTACTCTTATTACTATGCCAAACCCAGAGGTTCTTAGAGCAAAGAGCCCAGCAGTCCTTATCCTCACCTTCAAGACTGACTTCATTCTAAGATTGTACTGTATTTATGATGCCTTCACATGCCTTGCTACCTGCCAGGCCAGTGATTCTCAACCTTCCTAATGCCACGACGAAAATAATTTTATGGTTGGGGGGTCACCACAACATGAGGAACTGTATTAAAGGGTCATGGCATTAGGAAGGTTGAGAACCACTGTGCTAGACTGTGTTGCTTAAAGCCAGAGATTGGATCTAGTTCATCCTTGCAACCCTGGTGCCTAGTATTGTACCTGAAACATAGTAGCTGTTTTAAAATCCTGCTGAAATAGTGAATGAGCTAAATAGTGCCTGTTCCTATGCCTCACTCCATTTTCATACCAATTTTCAGCTCATGGTTTCAAGCAAATGTGGCATCTGCTATTATCATCTCAGGGAACAGAATAGAGTCACTGGTGAAGCAGGTGTATTGGAGCTCAGGTTTTGTTCATTTTGAAGAAAGGTGCTAAATAAGGACCTTGTTTCCAAACCATGAAGTATTTCATAAAATGGATTTTCCTTAAGCACCAAAACTTATTCTAAACAACTTAATAGAAATCTTGGCAAAGTGTATTATGTATATACGCTTTCTCAAGCATAATAAACCAAACAGAATTTATCCTTACATAAAGATGATATAGGTAAATAAATCACCTTAAAGTTAAGCCCTGATGTCCTAGGAGATAATGAGATGTTCAAGATACTTTTATGTACACTGTGCCAGGAATTCTGTCATTAAAATTAATTTTTCTTATTCTTTTTGGATCAGAGACCCTGAATGTTGCTGAAAGTTTGACTCTGTTAATTCAATTTATTCACCATCTGGTGTGGACCTGTTACACCAGGCACTGTATTAGGCACTGGGATGCAGTAGTGAGCAAAATCAGAAAGAATTCCTGCTCTCATGGAGCTCGGGGTCTAGGGAAAGATGCAGCATTAAATGGGTAATCACACTGATGAAGGAATGTACTGTGAAAAGTGAAAGGAATGAACAGTATATGGGCTTTTAAGAATTTCTCAAGAGGATTTTGACTTAAGGGAGTCAGGGAAGATTCCGTAAAGAAGTAAAGATTGAGCTGAGACCTGAACAGAGGGTGGCATTAACTAGGGAAATAGGATAAGGAAGAACATTACAGGCAGGGGAAACAATATAAGAAGGTCCCTTTGCAGGAGCCAGCAAATGCGCTTGAGAAGCTGAAAGAAGCCCAGAGCGGTGCAGAAGGAGCAGGAGGTGGCGCTGTGGGGCAAGATGAGATTGGCAAGGGGAAGCAGGGGTCGGGTTACACAGGGCCCAGGTAAACCATTCTGTTTAGATCTTTATCCTAAGAGGGATGCAAAGCCATTGAATTTTAAGTTGTATAAGTGATCCAGACTGGGAATAGAAACATTACTCTTGCTGTACAGTACAGAAAAGATAGATGGGGCACAGCAGAGAACAGACTGGAAGTAGTACCCACCCACTCTCCCACCACGCAAATGAGCCAAGCAAAGTCATTTGTCACCTATGGTTTTGGTCTGCCCTTGCAGTGGGCTCAGCAGTTTGGTCTGTAGAGGACACAGTCTGTCCTGGGGGATTGGCCTCTGGATTTATGGTCATGAATACCAGAGAACATTTAGCTTTTGATAGAGTGGAACTCCTCAGTGACTTTTCTCATATATGCTTTTATTTTATTTTAATTAATTAATTTTTTTAAGAGATGGTGTCACTCTGCTGCCCAGGCTAGAGTGCGGTGGCACAATCATGACTTGCTGCAGCTTTGAACTCTGAGCTCAAGGATCTTCCTGCCTCAGCCTCCCCAGTCATTGGGAC